CCCCAAAACCCCAAAACCCCAAAACCCCAAAACCCCTTCAATATTAATTTTGATTGAAGTCTATCCGATTTAACTCAATTCAGTTAAGATCTTAGATAAATTTAGCGGAATACATTCTTGAAGAAAGAACTTGGACCAATGAAATCAGAGAAGGGAAACTCTGATTTTTTGTCAAACACCCTCCAGAACCTTAGAGTCTGGTCCTCAGGAGAAGTACTAGCAACAGTTGAGCCATTTGGACTTAAAGTGGTATGCAAGATTCTTGATTTGTGCCCTATAAGCTCACCTGTCTGAACCAAAGGCATTTCTGGTTTATGAGGGAGATACTTCCATACAAAGAATTGGCTCTTTTCATAACCATGAGAGGTGACTAATTCTCTAGAGTTATCGGACCATAGGAGAGAACAAACTTGTCCATTGGTTCTCAGGCTATAGATTTCAGTACCTTCTTCAGTATCCCAAAACTTGATAGACTTGTCTAACTTGCCTCCTCCAGAGACAAGCAAGTTTTTGTCTTGGGAGGCCCAAGACAGCGCTTTGACTGCAGCTTTGTGGCTCTTCAAGGCGAACTTTGGTCTTTTCATGATATTAATATCCCAGATTCAGAGATGATTGTCGTTAGAGCCACTTGCAAGTTGAATTCCATCAGGAGACCACTTTAGGCCACAAACTTCCTTTGAGTGATATTTGAACTGATCTATGAGATGGCTATTTATCCCTGACATCATGACTGAGAATGAGACTGTCCAAGCTTCCAGTGCTCAAGATGTTACAGTTCCATGAGAGTGCTGATACCCTTTTTGAGTGTCCTTTGAGAGTTCTTATTCTTTGTAATTTATCAGTGTCCCATATTTCAACTCTTCCATTATTGAGCCCAATGGCAAGCCTGTTCTTGCAGATGGTCATCCACGATACAGAAGTTATCAAAGTTTTACCATTTGACGGGATGATTTGTGAGATTTGGTTATTAGAATCATTCAGAAGGAACACACATCATTCTAACCCGATTGCAATGACATTTTCCTTACTCCAATCTAGGAGATTCAGGTAGAAATCATCAGTCATATTCGGAGCCTCAAGGGCTCTTTTAGAGTAAATTTTAGTAACTTTTTCCACTGGCTTTACATAAATATTGCAGCTTGGTAAGTTTTTCAGTCTAAGTGAGCTTCTTTTCAGAGCTTTATCCCTATCTCCTTGAATATTGGACTTGTTAAATCTCAGTATGTTCCTCTTAAATGGCCTAGATATCCTCATACTTCGTTTCTTGTGAGCAGAGCTTGACAATGTGTCAATAAATTCCTCACCATTTTCTTGCGTAGAGTCATTGATTCTGAAAAGCGCTCCTAAGCCAATACTCCTCTTCATAAAGCCTGATACTCTCTCTTCTTGAGAGCTTTCTGATTCTGATCTTGTTCTTGGTCATGGTTAAGGTTGTCTTCTTGTGTGTCAACTGGAGATTCTTCATCACTAATCTTGAACATAGCTTTTTGAGTATCCTCAGTTTTTCTAAAAGGGATATACCTATCGTTAGAGGATGGAACTGCAAATTGCATTTTAAGCTTTATCAATTTTTATAAGGATGAAAGAACTGAAAGAAAGATTCGCATAATAAGAGTATTTAAGAGGTTAGAAATGAGTGCTATACTAAGAATAGGTCAAAAATGTCTATAAGAAGGAAATCTTAGCTTATCCAAATCATTTATCACCCCAAATATCCTCAATTATCCCCTCTACCCCCGGGGTTTTGGGGTTTTGGGGTTTTGGGG